GAAAGAGCTAGTTCATATAAGACCATGAACAATAAATTTAGTTTAGAAAGGATTTAGATATTATCTTTATCGACCAATTTGCCCTCAGGCTTATATGTATCGTCTTCTAGACAAAATGTCAAATTTAAATCGTCCTCTAGTATTGCCCTCTGGCCAGTTTGTCTTTACCAAAAGTTTGAATTTATATATCATGTAAAAAAATTTCTAATATATAAAACTCAAGTTAAATTTCAAACGGAAGCCCTAATTCAAATACTCGGATAAAGTCGCAGAGTGGATTCCTTAATTCATCAACAACCAAACCCATCAAAGCTAATAAACTTGCAGAAATCTTGAAAACCTTTATTATAAGATCTTCATTACATTAAAAAATGTTCATTGATATATTTATTAACTTTTTGTCATCCTCGTCGTTTATTAAATGAATAAAAATTTAAATTAAGGAATCTCAAATATTTACAAAATGAGCATCCTAAAAAGTTGTCGATTACTATAAAAACAAAATAGAAATGCCCTATTGAACTTCCCTAAACAAAATTTAAGATATTTCAATTTGCTCTCTGGTTTAAACGTTTTGCAAGTTATTTTGTCGGACATCAATATTAAAATACAATATAAATAAATTAAAAAACAAAATATTAACGTTTTTGTTATTATCATGAAGAATCTCAAGATCTCATAACTATTTCTTTAAAAATTCCCTAAAAAAAAAATGCGTATAAAAGTGATCTAATTTCGAGAATTATTTAGTGCAAACGCTACAAGTTGATTCGTAAAGACAAGTGCTTTTATTCCCTTTATAAATATTAAAGCATTTCTACATATTTTTTTTCTGGTACCCGCCAATATTTTTTTTCGATTTGTGTTTTTTTTAAAATAAAAAATAATAAAAAATAATGATGCTTAACTTTAAATGGAAAATGTATGGTTGAATTTCATTCCAAATATAAATTTAACTAATGGATTATTATATGGGAATATACTTACCCACCGAAAACAACGCCGC